GCTCCTATGATGCTGCTTGGCCTGCTGTGTTCATCCAGCCCTGCACCTTGTTGTCTCGGATTCTCCAGCATCTGCAGTTCCTACTATCTCTAGTCAGCACTTCTGCCTGAATGTGTTCATGTGTTTTATTTTGCTGTGGGAGAGGGGCAGAGAAAACCAATCTTGAGATCCAGTTACAGGCTTCCTTGCAAATTAATGACCATCAGAGATTGACACAGTTCTGTGTAGTTCGCAGAGAGAAAAGGCTGCTCGGCTTTGCAAGCAACAGAGCCATAAGTAGAAAGAAGACAGTCTCTATTGAAAGACATGATTCTACAGCCCGCCAGGCTTCCTGGAGATCTGTCCTATCATAGCCTGGCTTCACTGCTGGTGGTGATTTGAGAAACAGTCCAAAAACTGTGAAAGGTGCTTGGAAATGGTGATTCAATATTAATAGTCAGCGAAATGTTGTTAAAGGGAACCTGTTGTAAGCTCGGAGCAACAATGGCCTGTTTACTATAAGGACTGTGAAAAATGCAGTATGACAAGTACAAACGGGAAACATTCCTTTCTGTAGTTTAAATTATAAGTTACCTACAAAACAGAAAATAGTGTTTGGTCAATAGTGTTATTAAAATTATTTATTGCAATAAAAATATTGAAATGTGAAATCTTGTGTCATTGTTTCAGCTCGTAGCTACAAGTTTGAATATCTTGATGAACGTCTTCTATCTCTGCAGACAACATAAAAGTACATAAGAATGATTTATTAACAAGTATATTAACGTTTGTTATGAATTATCAACATTATCGATTGAAAGAATTCTTTCAAAGGATTATGCATAAGTCAAAGAATCTATGATAATCACTTTTTGATATCGTAGGGACAAAGGCAACATTTAGGCTCATACCACTGACAACCAAACACATCCGCAAAGATTAATACATGTTTGTTGTAATGTGGTATACACTGAATGGTCAGTGACTTACGTGAGCATGTTTTCAGATCCTGATTCAATGTAAAACCTGGACGACACCTGCAGTAATAGGATGTTGCTGTGCTCACACATATCTGCTCACAGTCATAGTCTCCAATAGAACATGCATCCAACCCTGAAATTTTTCATTAAATTTAGTGTAACATCATTCATTAAAAGGTTTTATGAATCTAATTAATTTATTTTCAACATTTACAGTGACAGGAAGAGCGAAGATCAATACAAGAATAAATCTGAAAGTCTGAAAATGATATGAAGAGTAAACTGATTAGAAAAATATCAAAAGGGAAATGCATTTTCAAACTTGAGGACAATCATCACTTATCAGGAGCGCTGTATTGATTTATAAAGGAAGCCACTAGTTTTTTTTTAAGAAATGATGACATCAGGTCACGTATTTGCTTCTAACTTATGAATCTGTAGTTTTCAGGAATTCAGGGAACACGGATTTGGTGACCTTGTTAGTATTTAGTGGACGTGTTAATTGGAGTAAACAACAAGAGTTAGAAAAATAAAACCTGGACAAAATTAACCAAGTAAAGTTATACCCATAATGACGTAATGGGAATTAAAATTCAGGGAAGACAGAAATGTGAAGAAGTAACATTTAATCCATCTCACTCACTTTCTTCTTTGGATCCACATAAAGGACATATTCAAATCATTGTTATGTTCCCTATTAGCTCCAAATCATAAAACAAAAGAAACATTTCTACTGGCCTGAGCAGGTAAGTGGAATCTGCTGAATGTTGTGCACTGGTGTAAAAACAAACCTAATAGTTTAACCTGACTGGCAGATACTTACAATGGAGCAACAATTATCTGACACCTAAAAATAAAATTTCCTTCCTACAACTATCAATTCAGCTTACTATTAGTGTATAACAAGCAGAAAATGGAATAATCATCAATACCTATGCTAAACACTATCATATCCAACTGCTTTGCAGTGGGGTCTCTCATGGACAGATAACAAATTAAACTGAATCCCTAAGGAACAAAAACAGAAATTGCTGGAAAAGCTCAGCAGGTCTGCCAGCATCTGTGGAAAGAAATCAGAGTTGACATTTTGGGTCGAGTGACCTTTCCTCAGAACTGCTCTGACTTTTGAGGAAGGGTCACTCAACCTAAAACACTAACTGGTTACTCTCCACAGATGCTGCTAGACCTGCTGAGCTTTTCCAGCAATTTCTGCTTTTGTTTCTGATTTACAGCATTTGTTCTACGGTTTACAGTTCTACAGCTCTTTTGGCTTGACTACGGAGGAATCTCCTTTTAAACCCTCCCATCATTGCTAATTCTTCAATGTTTCTGAGTGAGGGCAGACTACTAAATTGTCCTCCACCTTGGGAAGATATAAAGCAAGCAAGGCATGGAAATTTGTATAGAAGGTAAATTGGGACATTAGTTGTTATCTAAAGGGGCTCAACAGAAATGAGGGGTAGCTAAAAGATTCTAGGGGCCACAGAAACAGCAATGTACAGGGGAATGTGAGGATAAGGAGGTTAATCTTCTATCTCCAGTGGAGCCTGGAGCTCACTCACAAGAATGCAAACTTGGAACCTTACCAGATGGGATCGAAATAACTGTATAAAATGGCTGTCACTAAGTATAAAGTGGGTGGAATAAGTTACTGCTTTTTATCTTCAGGGTCAGCGTAGAATATTTGGAATTGAGACTCTGCCTGGGGCAATTGCAACAAATGTGCTTGCATTGATTCACCTATCTGAGTTGAATTTGCACTTTGTTGACTGAATTATCGAAGCAATCAAAGACGACTCTTTCACAAATGAACTCTTGCTGTAACTTGCATAGTTCAGATAGTAGATATAGATTCATCAATTAAGATACCTGCAAACATTCTTTGGAGCTGATACCTGCTATTAAATCATGATCTCACTGGTGTCTTATTCATTCTTTAAGTCTGTGCCCTCTTGATCTTGATCCTTTTGCAAGTAGGAACAGTTTGTCCCCATCTACTCTACTCAGCACCCTCATGACACTACCTCAGGGTAGTGTCCTAGGCCCAACCATCTTCAGCTGCTTCATCAATGACCTTCCCTCTATCATAAGGTCAGAAGTGGGGAAGTTCACCAATAATTGCACAATGTTCAGCACCATTCGTGACTCCTCAGATACTGAAGCAGTCCGTGTTCAAATGTAACAAGATTTGGACAATATCCAGGTTTGGGCTGATAAGTGGCAAGTGACATTCGTGCACACAAATGCTAGGCTATGACCATCAACAATAAGAGACAATCTAAGCACCACCCCTTTACATTCAATGGTGTTACCATCGTTGAATCCCCCTCTATCAACATCCTAGGGGTTAGCATTGACCAGACACTCAACTGGACTCACCACATTAACACAGTGGCTACAAAAGCAGGTCAGAGGCTAGGAATATTGCAGCAAGCAACTCAACTCCTGACTCCTCAAAGCCTGTCCACCATCTACAAGGCACAAGTCAGGAGTGTGATGGAATACTCCCCACTTGCCTGGATGAGTGCAGCTCCAATAACACTCAAGAAGCTTGACACCATCCAGGACAAAGCAGCCCGCTTGATTGGCACCACATCCACAAGCATCCACTCCCTCCACCACCGACGCTCAGTAGCAGCAGCGTGTATTATTTACAAGATGCACTGCAGAAATTCACCAAAGATCCTCAGACAGCACCTTCCAAACCCACGACCACTTCCATCTAGAAGGAAAAGGGCAGCAGATATATATGGAACACCAGCACTTTCAAGTTCCCCTCCAAGCCACTCACCACCCTGACTTGGAAATATATCACCGTTCCTTCACTGTTACTGGGTCAAAATCCTGGAATTCCCTCCCTAAGGGCATTGTGGGTCAACCCAGAGCAGGTGGACTGCAGTGGTTCAAGAAGGCAGCTCACCCCCACCTTCTCAAGGGCAACTAGGGACCGGCAATAAATGCTGGCCCAGCCAGCGACGCCCACATCCCATACATGAATAGAAAAAAAGATTTTAATAACTTCCATCAGATTTTCTCTCAGTCTTCTCTCCAAGGAGAAAAATCCTAATGTCTCCCCGTAATTGAAATCTCTCACCATGGAGCCATTATTGTAAAACTCTTGTGCACTCTGTCCAATGCATTCACATTCCTCCTATAGTGTGCTATCCGAAACTACACACAAAACTGAGGCATAACAAGTGTCTTATGCGTTATTAGATCTGGCAGCATTTGTGAAAAGAAATTAGAGTTAAACTCTGGGTCCAGTGACCCTTCCTTAGAACCCCTTCTGAGGATGGGTTACTGGACCCGAAACGTTAACCCTGATTTCTCTTCACAGATGCTGCCAGACCTGCTGAGCTTTTGCAGCAACTTCTGTTTTTGTTTCTGATTTATAGCATCTGTGGTTCTTTCGGTTTGTATGCATTACCTCCTTGCTTTTGTACTGTTTGTCACCATTAATAAAGTCCAGGAAAGTGTATGCTTTCTTAGCTGTTCTCTCCACCAGTCCTGCACCTTCAATTAACTTCTCTCACATATAACTATAACTCGCTCTGCTTGTGCACTCTTTTGGAACTGTAGCCCTTATTTTCTACGTCTGTCCATGTTCTTCACACAAAAATGCATTATCTCAGATTTCTCTGGATTGAACTTCATCCAGCATCTATCTAGCCACTCCATTAATTTTCTCTATCCTTTTGAAGTTCTTACCATCCTCCTCACAGTTTACAATCTTTCCGAGTTTTGTATCATCTGTAAACTTTGAAATTGTCCCCTGCGTGCCAAGATCTAGATCATTGAGATATATCAGGAAAAGTTAGGGTCCCAATACCTTGGAACTCTATACAAACTTTCCTCCAGCTTGAAAAATATCCATTGACCATAACTCTCTGTTTCCCAGCACTCAGACAATTTTGTATCCACATTGCTTCATTCTCTTTTAATCTATGAGCTATAACATTTCTCACAAGTCTGTCATGTGGCACTGTATTCGAATGGCTGTTGACAGTCCATGTACACCACATCAATAGCATTACCCTCATAAGCCACATCTGTTGTCTCTTCAAAAAAGTCCAGCAAGTTAGCTAAATATGCTTTCCCTGTTAGAAATCCACGCTAGCCCTTCCGAACCAACTCACCTTTCTTCCATGTGAGTGCTATTTCTATCCTAAATTATTGTTTCTACAAGATTTCCTATCACTTAATTTAAACTGATGGTCTATAATTGCTGAGCTAGCATTCACTATATTTTTTACACAAAGGCATAATGACTGCAACTTACCAGTGTCCTGGCACCTCCTCTGAACCTAGAGAAGGTTGAAAGATTCAGGCCAATGGTCCTGCTATTTTCAGTCTCCTTTCCTTCAATGTCCATGGATGTATCTCATCCCATTTCCATGCCTTGTCAACTTTAAGCACCAATAGTTTAACTTCTTCCTTATCAATTTTGAACTCCTTCTAGTGGCAGAGTTTCCCTCTTTGAATTCCAAAATGATTTTTCTTTTTTTTCCAATTCGTTAATGCATCTTAAGAATGTTACTTAAGGCTTTTTTAAATCTGCTGGTTAATAAATTTTCCATCAAATAAATAAGATAAAGCTGCTACATAACTGTTAAAATTCTTAACTCTTTTCCCAGCCTAGTTTATTTACGTTTTCTTCCTAACTGATCAATTCTATTCCAGGAATCTGGTAATCAGCCTGTTTTAATGGATATTGAATCTGTACTTATTCCCTTGGTTGTTAGCTGAGTTTTATTGCTCGCTGTTTCTCTTTTCCACTTTAAATCTTTGTTTCCCCCGATACTGGATGTACAAAGTTTTCATTGATTTACAGTTGTCTTGATAATTTATCTACAGAACATTACTGTTCAGAGACTATTCGTCACAACAGCTGTTTAGCTCTGAGTCTCATCTGGCTACTAACTAGACTTAAAGTTTTACCAACAATTTATTTTTGTAAAAATAACTTTCTGAATTCTTTTCTTCATCAGAATATTTCAGGTCTATTTCTTGATATTCACAACTGTCACAATTTTATAGGCCATGGACCCTGTCACTGCCACCATCATTTGTCACATTTGTTTTAGTGCCACACTCAAGAGTTTGGTGTCAGACACTGTTGAGCGCAAGGCAAGTCAACTGTAGTTGACTCCTCCTACACTGTGCTATTTACACCACGTAGGAAGCAATTCCATGACACCAGGTTCTGATCTTCTCCAGTCAAATCAAGTCAAGTATTTTCTCCTTGAAAGGAGTGAGGATCCTAATGCCTCCCACCCCACCTCCAATGGTTATTGCCCTCCCAGTCCAGTTGTGGGATAGATTTTTTTTCCCTTCAATCAGACAAAGGGCAGAATTGAGTGTAATTAATGTGGACAGAAGGGCAGCTAGTGTTATAAGAGCAGCAGAGATAGTGAGGTGTTGCTGGTAAGCGAGTAGGAAATGCAGAGCGCAGGAAGGGTTAGTGGTTTGGGAGGATGAGCTGTGTGACATCAGTGTGGGGACAGGATGCATGTAGTAGTGGCAGTTGTAGTCCTTGAGTCTTGGTGAGATGTATGTCCAGTGAGTGGTTGTCTTGTGAGTGTGGGCCAACAGAGAGAAGATGGTGACGCTTACCCTTCTGGAGTAGAGTTGATCATTAACCTTCCTCCTGTGCTACTGGGCATTCCTTTTAACCTGGAACACAGCAGTGTTGCAGGCCACTATCTGTGTCCAGTTTGGTTGTGTCTGGTAACGTTACTTCACTTGACCATCTGTAGGAGAAAGGGTAGCCCTCCTCTCCACCAGCCGAACCTCCAGGTCCCTTTCTGCAAAGTGGGAGCGAGCTTTTCTCTCTGCTCTGTGACTGCAGTCATAATATGAGGGGCACTTAGAGCACGTAAGGTGGTGCTGCAGTTGGGTTTCAGTGGGCAGAAATATTGCTCAAATGCCAGAACATCCCAGCAGTGATGAGCACGTCTGCATATCCTGTGATTGCATGAGATGAGCATGAAAGAGCCCAATTCCAAAGTTAATGCGGTGAAGTGTGGAAGTTTGTGTGGGAAAGATTGCTCCAAATGATGGCAGACTGAACGCCTTTAATCTCACTCAACACACTTTAACCAATAATGGGAAATTTCTACTCTGTACGGGTCAAAGAATTTGTGGTGATCACTTTTTGCTATCACAAGGACAAAAGTAATGTTTAGGCTCATACAATAAAATATAACCACCATGGAATAATCCATGGCTATGAGAACATGGCAAACCCATTGAATAGAGACTTACGTGAGCAAGTTTTCTGATCCTGATTCAATGTAAAACCTGGACGACACCTGCAGTAATAGGATGTTGCTGTGCTCACACATATGTGCTCACAGTCATGGTTTCCAATAGCACACATATTCTCACCTGAAATATTTCATTAAATAACTGTGTCACATCTATAAAAATGGCAAGGGAAAACACTCTGGTATTCGTTGTTCTATTTTAATTTTGTCTTATCCTTCAAGTTTTTCCTTTTTGACTCAGCTATTGCTTATCTGTACTTAGGAGACTCAATGATAAATTTTGTTTGGTAGTGTTTCTGAGAAGTACCTTAGAATGCATTAATGAATCAGAGGTGTTATATTAATGCAGGTTGTTGCTCTGGTTCATTGTGGGTCTTGTGCTGGATATACAAACTTCCTAATATCACTCAGAAATACCTATTTACACCTTGATCTACTGTTTTAATGATTTCCTCCCATACACAAGAGCAATTAGGACTTATAATGAGAACTCCTACTGAAATAAAAATGCTAACATGCACGTATGTACCCTCAAATGATAGACTAACATTTTTCCGAACCAATTTAGGGAAATTTCAACAGTAACAATGAGGCATAGAGCAAAACCCTTTGATATTAATATTTGCTGGAACTGTTAAGTGACCTGTGAAAGTTTAGATAAGCAACATGATTATGATAAGTGACTTACGTGAGCAGGTTTTCTGATCCTCATTCAAAATAAAACCTGGACGACACCTGCAGTAAGAGGATGTTGCTGTGCTCACACATATTTGTTCACAGTCATGGTTTCCAGCTGCGCACATGTCCTCACCTGAAATATTTCATGACATTAATTTTATCTTAACCACACAAAATGATGAAGAAAAACACCTGAGCATTCATTGTTTTGTTTTCAGGGAAGCAAATACCAGGACCTAAAACATTGCCCATTAAATATTTTATTATGTCAGATGTATGAGCAAATCTATAGTTCTTATTTTAGAAAGGTGGTTATAGAACTTCTCAGAAATCATTGGTACAACTGATTTGCTTGTCAGACTGTATTAGAGGGCATCTACAACCCAACTTGCATCTGATTTCCTCCCAAGCATTGAAGTGACATTAGCAGACCATCATCAAGATATGCAGGTGAAGTGATGATTGAGTGTTACTGATCATTCAGGACATCCAAGTTGCTATTGCAACATGCACCTTCAGATGTACCAACTGCTCGCCAGACCTCATCGTATTGAATTAAATACCAAAGTTACGGAATTACATACCCACGAGAGATTTATGAACAGTTCTGTGAATTAATTTAGTTTGTTTACAACATGAACAATGTGAATAAACAACACATTAGTGGTATTTGACTTACGTGAGCAGGTTTTCTGATCCTCATTCAATGTAAAACCTGGAAGACACCTGCAGTAAGAGGATGTTGCTGTGCTCACACATATTTGTTCACAGTCATGGTTTCCAGCTGCGCACATGTCCTCACCTGAAATGTTTCATTAAATTTAGTACATCTTGTCCATAAAAATTGGTGAAGGATACAAACTTAAAATTAATTGCTGTATTTTAATAGTAGCAAATATCACATTCAAAATGTTAAGATATTTCCTGTAAAACTGTTATAAATAATTATTGTAGATAAAGTGAGAAAATCTACAGTTATTGTCCTGAGAGGTAGGTGGGCATCACAAGAGTTATTTGTACAACTGAGTTGTCAGCTGGGGATGGGGTCAGAGTTAACAATGTAAATTGTAAACTACATGGTTTACAATCAACCATGTACTGTTAGACTGAAGTGTATTACACCCCTCCATCTTTCTCCCCTCCTTGAGGCACTCGGTTTCAAATACCAGCCATACATCCTTATTCATTTCAACGACAAGTTAGTTTGACAATCTCCCATCAAGTGTAAGTATTTATATAAAAACAAATATAAATGTGGCTTGCTATTAGTAAAGTGGATAACATGCTAGATCTGTGACTTTCTAATGTCATCTAAACATGTTTATTTTTAAGTTGAAGGGTGTGTATCATTGTTTCCTGTCATGCACTGAAAGACAATTGAGATTTTCACTGAAATAATATTGAAAGAGAGTACCCGACATTGGAACAATGTACCTATGTGTGATTTATTACCTGTTTTGATTTTCAATATTGCAATAAAAGCGAATAAAATAATGAATCTGAATGTAAGTTACCTGGACAGCAAACTATCAGAGTAAATGGGTTTTGAAACTTCTGAATATCATTCAGAATTAAGAGAAAGTTAATCTATAAATAGAAGCACTGTTTTCATTAGAATTCAGAATAGCAGTTCTGATATTTAGTTTCAATCCCTGAATTAGTTGATTCCAATTTCCAGACTGATGCAGCCATTCAGAAAACACAGGGCTGAATCTTAGCTCTTTTTTTTTGGCTAAGCCTGAGTTTCATTGTGTTTTTATTTGGAAGGTTTGTCATTGGAAGGCCTGGCAAAGTCTCTGGTTGTTTATGACCAAATGCACTTCCTAGATGACCTAAAACAGCTTTATGGCATCTCTAATGTCCGATTTCCACCCCATCTTACCACATGCCTTTTCTGGAATGACTTATCACTCAATGGCCATCCTGAATTCACCAACAACCCTTTTGCCAAACCATCTTTGAAAGCTCACTGTGCACCCCAAAAAGCACTGTCAGAACAGAGCTGACCTGCATGACTCCTGACCTTTTCCCTGGACATGGCACTCAGGGGGAAATGGGTGCCCCAGTTTGTGCATAGGGTCCTGGAAGTTCTGGGAGACAGGATGGTGCTGACATGGGGCTTCCTCCGCCCCCAGGTCTAGCTGTGGAGGTGACAACGTCAGACCATGCCAGGCTGGTCCAAGGTTGCAATCTGGGTTAAAGCAGTCTCAGTCTCAGAATGCACAGCACTGTAGGAAGAAGCTCAATGTCCATTTCCACTCTGCCAGGGTAAGTTCTTTATGATGCCTCACAGTCACTCTATCTCTGCTACTGAAATCACTTGCCATCAAGGCTCGAGTTCCACCACGCTCAATAATGCCTGCAACACTTTCCCCATTCACTCTCACCCTGACATTATTAACCCTGCATTGCCTTAGCATTGCCTACTCACTCACTCAGGATGCCTCCCCAACTGGACCAACAGCAATAGCTGTGCCATCTACTTTCATCTCCTGTAATACCAGCCTCTCTCTTTCATTGCAGGAGAAAAGCAGCAACATTGGAGCTAAAAGAGTCAAGACAGTGGTGATCTGCCCATCCTGTCGTTCTTCACACTTTATGAGGACAGGATCTTTTATCTGACCACTCTGAGCTGGGCATTGACTGGTATCAGAGGCTGCCACAGTTTACTGTGCCAGGAACCCCTGATGAAGACCATGCCCCTTGACTTGACTGAGGCCTGTTGCCAACTATGACAAGTTAAACTAAAAAGAACCAAAGAACTGCGGATGCTGGAAATCAGAAACAGAAACAGAAATTGCTGGAGAAACTCAGCAGGTCTGGCAGTATCTGTGGAGAAAAAGCAGCGTTAACATTTCAGGTCCAGTGGCCCGTCTTCACTACTTCCTGGTTTTTGTATCTGCACTATGGGAATCAGTAAGACAGCAGTAATCTAAGCCTGGAAAGTCTGGCTAAGGGGGCAAAGCACAAAAAGGGAAGGGAAGGCAATGCAACACAGGGGCACTGAGAGCATCCAGGTAAACTCAGAGTGAGTGTGCACTATGACAGCCAGCAAAGAGCCCGAGATACAACCTGGGTTAGTCCCTGAGCTGGGTGTGTGTCCCTGAACTCACAGTGTCCTTGCTGCAACACAAGGTGCAGGTATTGTAGTGGAGGAGCACCTCATAATTTGAATGGAGATGTGCCATGGGCATTCTTAGAGGTTGGCGCACCACTGTGACATGGGGTGCATGCGGTTGGTGACAATGGAAGGTGTGCTGAGATGTTGGTGTCCAGTTTCCGACATGGAGGCCACTTGCAGCAAGTGGCAAGCTGGAGCAGCCAGGGACCGGCTCTGATTTTCCTGTTGTTATTTTCCTCGGTTTCTAGCTTGTTTCACAAGTTTGGTAAGATGGGAAGCTAACTATTAATGAGGTGAGTTTGAGCATTAACAAGGCATTTCACAAGCAATAATTCTCATCAACTGGCAACTTACTGCTGCCTAGAGAGGATCCAGCCATGCTGCTTGTGAAAGCATAAAAGTTGGCATGAGTTTGTCCCAAAGTTGAGTTGGACCTTGGTGCACTTGTTGCCTGAAGCTACCACGCATGTTGCATTACTCACAAAATCAGACACTTATTAGATTCTTCACATAGACTTATTATTATTTGTGGCTGTGTTAAATTGAAATACCTTTCAAAGATCAGAAGACAACACATTAATGATAAGTCACTTACGTGAGCAAGTTTTCTGATCCTGATTCAATGTAAAACCTGGACGACACCTGCAGTAATAGGATGTTGCTGTGCTCACACATATGTGCTCACAGTCATGGTTTCCAATAGCACACATATCCTCACCTGAAACATTTTATTAAAGTTAATATATCTTATCCATAAAAATTAGTCAAAAGAAAGCAGCCGAAAATTATTTTACTGGAAAATAAAATTGCAACATCAATATAGACATTGCCCAGGACAAAATGTCTCGTTAGTAATATTTCACATGGGCAATATGAGCAAAGCTACAATTACTGCCCTGAGAAAGTGGTGATGGATCTTCTGAAGAGATTAGCTGTAAAACTGAGGTACTCGCTTTGTTATTTCAGAGGGTATTTACATGTATTGGTTAACATGATTTAACTGACCTCCATATGACACTCTTCTCCTCCAAAATCATAAAATTTGGCTTCCAGTCGACTATTCTAATATTTCCTCATGTTGCTCAGTAAACTTTATTTGTTAATGCTCATGTGAAGCATGTTGTGACATTTTGTCATGTTACAGGTGCTACATAAATACAGGTTGCTGCTGTATGTGAGTACTATGCTGAGTATGTGAACCTCATAATGATACCTAGAACTGATTGATCTCTTCCACTTTGAAGGATTTGATTCACAATTTCATAGAATAGAATCCCTACAGTGTGGAAGCAGGTCATTTGTCCATATTTTTGGGCAAGGGGTCTTCGATTTGCGGCCATATTCATTCTAATTGATGTGCATAAGAATTAATATTTGTCTCTCCCACGCCCACCTTATTGAAACAATTTCTGCATGGTTCCCATGTCACCAAGCTGCTACCAGTGAGCTCTATGTATGACAGGAAATACAGGCACATTGCTACATACTAGGTGCAGCAGGTACCCTGCTCCTCTTAAAGAAGACCTTAGCTTAAAGCTAAGTTGAAATAAAAATGATTGCTGCAATTGAAATACTTGTAGATTTAAAACAAGGGCAGGTAAATTATTGTTAAAGGGGTGAAGGACTAGAGGATAAAAGAGCTAATAATGATAGAGGTAAATGACCTTATGCAGCAAGTTACTAAGATCTACAAAACACTGCCAGAAAGAATGGTGGAGGCCTGCAAAATCCTGGCCTGCTAAGGGGAATTGGATAAGCATCAGAAGAAAAATTATTTGCCTGGCTACAAGGGGAAGGCCTCCTGCTGTGCTGTAACCATTCTCTGATGCTGTGAAATATTATGAGAGGAGAATAAAAGTTAGAAAACAAAGCAGCACAGGCACAGAACATCAAACAAACAGATCAGAATATTAGAGAACTGTTTAAAGGAGTTATTGGGTTCACCTGCCTTTATTACAAAAACTAAATTCAGAACGTCAGAATGCATTTTGCTTTATCCTAGCACATTGTAGGTGTCGCACCTGCTGGGTCTAAATAGAGTGTAATCACAATGGAACTATGTTTCTGGCTACCCCACTGATGTATTTCAGGGCAGTTACAAACTGGCATCTTTAGGAAGTCTGGCTTAAATCAATTCCATGCTGACAGATACAGTGCTGATGGCATTAATGGTGTAGGTGGGCAAGAGGAGAACTTCCTCTTGGGAGCTCAGCAATCCACAAGGATGCTCTCAGAGAGGAAACAGAGCAGTTAGCTGGGAATGCTAACTACAAGAGTTTGGAGCTAAGGATCTGGAAGCAAGATAAGCACCATGGTGACTCAGTGGTTAGCACTGCTGCCTTACAGCGCCAGGGACCTGGGTTTGATTCCATCCTTGGGTGACTGTCTGTGTGGAGTTCGCACATTCTCCCCGTGTCTGTGTGGGTTTTCTCTGGTCGTTATGGTTTCGTTCCACAGCCCAAAGATATGCAGGTTAGGTGGATTGGTCGTGCTAAATTGTCTGTAGTGAACATAGATACGCAGGCTCGGTGGATTAGCCACGGGACATGTCGGATTACAGGGATCGGTAGGCAGGGTTGGTCTGGGTGGCATGCTCTTTGGAGGGTCAGTGTTGATGTGATGGGCTGAGTGGCCTGCTTCCACCCTGTAGGGATTCTCATGTGAATTATTAAGGTTACGTGATACCTCCCAAATACAGCGCCAGTAATCTCTCATACTGTTCAATGCACCACATCCCCATCACCAGCTCCTGGAACTCAGGTCTCAGGTCTCAGATATTCTTAGACACGTAATAATGTTGCTAGCCTCACACCCATCTCTCATAGCTGCCATATGGTTCCTGCTCTTTAGCTTTGATGGCCATACCATCCAAACACAATGACTGACACTCTGCCCTTTCTCTTGCAGGTTAAGGTAATAAAAGGGTGCAGGAGCAGAGCAGGTAGAGGGCAAAGACATTCGCATCTCTTAAATACAGATGGCTCTCTGCATTGTAGAATCTATCGTGATGGCACCCATAGTATCTAATGTCACTGATAACTTTGAGGATGATGATTGCATCTTGCCAGCCTTCTGCTCTTTTTAACTGCAAGCAAATCTTCATCCTGCTTTCTGGCGTTATAGGCAAGCTCCTGATAGCGTGATACAGGATCACTTGCTTCCCACCCGTTAACCATTCCATCTGCCCCTTTTGAATTTATACTTTCAGAGACACCTAAGAATTGTCATCTGACCAATGACAGTACATCCAGAGGAAGGAGATAAAGCAACAACACAGCATTAATGCAGAGGTCCTTTCACATGCTCCATTATTGCATCTATCACCAGATCAGACCATGGTGCTGCACTTACTTTGGACGTGAGAGGGATCAGCTCATGGCATGCCATGGTATGAGTGGGCTGCAACCTTGCCAGAAGGAAATGTCAATTCATATTGGACTTGGAACATTAACATTTTCTCTCTCTCCAAAGAAGTTGTTGGATCTGCTGGATTCTCCAGGACTTTCTGTCTTTATTTCAGATCTCCAACATCTGTAGTATTTTGCTTTTATGAAACATTTGTCTGTTTGCTTATTCAACAGAGGGTAAGGAAGATGTCAGATGAGCATGTTAATGAGGCTGCAACACAGGATAGTGCTGGAGAACATGCACATTAAGAGTTTGGATACATTGTCTGGCCTGTGAAGAGACATGAAGCAGACCTGCTCCAATATGATAGAGAGCATGGTGTAAAACCTGCCCTCTTTACAGCCTCTAATCCATCTCTCTGTCATGTTGCAGACCCAGAAGCACTCTAAGTGCTGCCCAAGTACCCGTTGGAGCTTTTGTGTGGACAAATTGCCTATTCCTCTGATATCCGATACTGTGCAAAATATACTAAAACTCCCAAACAGTCCACAGTCCTTCCAGATAACTTCTCATGGAAAGAATTTCCAAATATTTAGCTCATCTCCAATCAGGGTGCCTGACTCTCTAAATAATGCTGCTGTACAGCCCATCTTGCTGTTTCTTGCATTTTCTTTCAGAACTAGGCAATGCAGATGTTGCCAGGACCTGCTTTGTCCAAGATTGGAGATCTAGTCTCACATGAGCAGGTTGGGCTGTGTAATGAAATGATGGTCTGGTAAATGCAACAACCTGAAACTAAATCATTGAAGCAAAGTCTATAGAGAGCAAGCCAAGGCACTAGCTACTCCTGGCGAAACAAGAAAGGCCTGTCTAGCAGTGCTAGAAGTGACACTGTATGCATACATTTTTCACCCAAAAAGACTGAATATTTTGGCTAATGTTATCTACAGCCGACGGCATTCTTGCAGGTAAACCATGTCCATTAGAATATAGCAAACCCTTTGAGGTAAGTGACTTACGTGAGCAGGTTTTCTGGTCCTCATTCAATATAAAACCTGGACGACACTTGCAGGAATAGCCGGTCGTGGTGTTTACACATAGTTGCTCACAATCATGGTTTCCAATGGCACACACATTCACACCTGAAATGTTTCATTAAAGTTAACGTATCTTATTCATAAACAACTTTAAATTCATTGATTTACATTAATGGCAGCAATAATAACAAATAAAGTGTTAACAGTTACCATCTGATGTTTTACTAAAAATATTTTAAAGGGATAATGTGATCAACCATGTGAAAATGGTGATAAACCTCTTGGATATTATTTAACAGCACTAGATTAATAAACAGCAAAGAAACCATTCAAAGAACCTGAAATTAGCATGAAAACAAATCTAATACTTTATATTTAGTGACCATATCCCTACTTTGGAGTGTTAAATAACTTAAAGGATTGATCTAAAAACACATTGGTCGGACTTTTATTAGTGATGCTGAAGTGTCACCATTGAATTGAAAGCAGGAGCTGAACTGCTTTCATGGTGATGACCATTGCTGAGGCAGCACGATCAAGGAGATGGTAAGGTTGCCCTCAAAGATAGGCCTGTTTGGAGAAAACTGAAACCCGATGGGGAAAGATGTTGGAGGTGCTCATTAATCTCAGGTGGCACCACTGTTGTACGGGCAGCCATTGGTACCAGAGGGGGCCCCTCCAGTGTACCAATAAAAGATGGGTAGTGCTGATATTTGTAAACCCTGGGAGTCACCTGGGTTTATCTGGCAATCAGAGGCAGGAAATGACCCTTAATGAGCCTCTGATGTAGTTCAATTGGCCTCTCAGTGGGTGTTAAATCACCAGCTTTCTCACCACTGGCAACATGGCAGAGCAGCAAGAAGATGGTGTTCCCTCCTCCTGATGCATTCACCATCATTTTGCCAGCAATGCCACAAACCAGGCTGTCATCAATGGGCATGGAAAGTTCAGACAATTTTCCTTCCTTGGGCAATCCATTCAATATACTTCTAGTGTGTAACCTATCAGAAGATTAATTTGTTTACCAGTACATAACACTCATAATGCAAGGTTCTAAAACCTTGCAAGAACTGTGAAAGAATGTTTGATAATTATTTTCCATATCATAAGTGCTAAGGCAATATTCAGGTTTCTACCACCTACAACCAAGTCCAAGCTGACAGAATCACCCTGTCCTTTAAAACACGCAAACTCCTGAAGGTTAGAGACTTACGTGAGCAGGTTTTCTGGTCTTCATTCAGCATAAAACCTGGATGACACCTGCAGTAATACGATCTCGCTGTGCTCACACATACTTGCTGACAGTCATGGTTACCAAGAGCGCAGAAATCCACACCTGCAACACGTTCTTTTTTAAAAAAAGGCTATGACAGCCACTTTAGATGGAAGTAGACCATTTATTAAGAACACAAGTGATATAATTTAATTTCTTATTGGCATATCAACAAATAATGTAACTTATGAAACCAGATATTATGTAGCCTATTCTAGTGATTCTTAATCTTATGTGGTAGATGTTTTAACCAGGACCCTTAGAGCAATAAATTGTATCAAACACTGTATACTTGAATTATGATACCTGCAACCCCCCTTGTTTGGGGTCAGCATAAATAAGAGATAATGTAATCTCATCACTTTGCCTTTATTTGGACAAACAACTCAACAATATTTTAGCTCAAAGGACAAAGATTTCACAGACATGATGAGCTAAATGGCCGCTTTCTGTGTCGTAACTTTTTGATATTTTTATGGATATTTAGTGGGAATAGCATTTAAAAATTGCTAAAATGGCAAATATAAGTTTTCACTTATTTATATTGCCCATTCAATTTTTTGCGAGATTATTTGGAATTTATAACTTAATAACCTTTGTTCTTTCTCCTTTTATTGTCTTTTATTTGTACCTGGCATGTGAATATCATTTTCAGGGCCATCATTGATGGTCCAGCCCTGTTTGCTTTGGTGAGAGTGGTGAGCTGTTTTCATGAGCTGTAGCTGTTCACGTTCTGCAGATACACCCAGAGAAACATTACGGGACGGTTTCTGGGACTTTCATCCAGTGAAAGTGATGGAAATGGCGATATTGTTCCAATTCAGAATGGTGTGTGACTTGGAGGAGAAATCGCTTATAATTGAGTTCAAATTCATCTACTGTCCTTGACCTTTCAAGACAAGGGCTGTCCAACCTATTCACCTGGGTGTCTACATTTCTTTCATTTGTGCAGGGGAGCAATGACAATGCTTCAAAGTGGTAACATCTGGCACAACAGTAAACTTAAAAATTTGGGGGAAATAAGCAATTCCAGAGCAATAGATTGATAATTCGATGAGAAATTAATAAGGTTGTCATCTAAAATGTGCCAACAGCAGGGCTAACCAGTAAAACTGTTTCTTGCCTTTCTGATTAGAAAGTAGTGCTAGAGTGAAACAGTCTAGGCTCCATGTCCTGGCTTTCAGACATGGGGGTGCGGACCAGGGCTGAGTAGGGAGAGGCTGAATAGGTTGAGGCTATTTTCCCCTGGAGCATCGGAGGCTGAGGAGTGACCTTATAGAGGTTTATAAAATCATGAGGGGTATGGATAGGGTGAATAGGCAAGGTCTTTTCCTCGGGATAGGGGAGTCCAAAACTAGAGGGCATAGGTTTAAGATGAGAGGGCAAAGATATAAAAGGGGCTTAAGGGGCAACATTTTCACGCAGAGGGCGGCGCGTATGTAGAATGAGCTGCCAGAGGAAGTGGTGAAGGCTGGTACAATTACAACATTTAAAAGGCATCTGGACGGGTATCTGAAGAGGAAGGGTTTAAAGAGATAAGGGCCAAATGCTGGCAAATGGGACTAGATTTATATAGGATATCTGGTCGACATGGAAGGGTCTATTTCCATGCTGTACATCTCTATGACTCTACGACTCTATCTGATGGTTCACTGCTGTCGTGCAGAGTGTGAGCTGGCCTCAGCACAATACAGAGAAAAGTGGAAGAAAGAAGTAGGCTGCCTGATTGGGCTGGAGGTAGAAGGTGGCTGGGTTCCCATCTGCCTTTCTCCATCACCAAACCTGCCAGGCAATGTGACTGAACTCAACGATAGGTTGACCCCTAGCAAAGTCTGTAAAGTGGTGAAGCCTTAACGCTGTGCCATTCTGCTTCATTTTGTTGGTTGGGAAAGTGTTTTAGCTACTTTTTTAATGATCATGTGACCAACCATCCTCTATTTTAAGGGATTGTCTGTTTTTTGACTGTGATTTCACTTCCTATAACAGATGACTTTTGTCCCTTGTTTCTAGGAGAGCCTGTGGGAGACTGAGCCTGGGGGTTTCCTCTTGCCTTCCTCTTACCTTTGAATCTGGCATTGGGGATTGATCAGCTTGACATCACAGTAAAGAAAAGTGAAAGACAGGAGGTCTTATTCTGTAAAGTCAATTGGAGCATTTAGAAACAATTTACATTCTACCAGCTCCACCACAAAGGTGAAATTACTTCCCAGAAATCTATTATACATCCACAATATTACCATAATTACATAATATTTAGCATTTTAATAACATAGGCCCAGTGAAAATCTACATTAAAATATTATGACTGAATTTCCTTGGAAATGCTGCCACTCCACTGTTGTAACTTTTGCAATGCAAACCTCATTGTAGTTTAATTTCTGATAATAAAATCATACCAGTTGACAGCAATAGCAGATAATCTGTGTAACAGGCTTGTGCTGATTCTTTGAAAGAGACATCCAATTGCATTGCCCAGTTTTCTCGTCACTACCCTGCAAGTTAGACCTCTTCGAGTACAGGCAACTATGTACAAATGAATGAGGAGCAGGTGTAGGCAACTCAACCTCCCAATCCATCATGTTATTGTAACCTCAAATCCAAATTTCCACCTCCCCCAGTAAACCTGTCAATTCTTTAAAGACTCTGCTTCCACCATCTTTTCAGGACGAGAGTTCCACTTCCTATCTTTCTATGTTTATGTTTCAAAGACTCTTAACTCTCTCTCAGTCTAGTTTGCCTAATCTCTGTTTTAAATGGCGATCCCTGAATTAAAAGAAAATGACGCTAGTTCTAGATTCTCCAATAATAGGAAACATCTCTCCACTTCTGCCTTTTCAACACTCCTCAAGTTTTTATATTGTTTCAATCAAGTCCCCTCTTACTTTTCTAAACCCCAGCAGGTACAAGTCTAGTCTGCCCAATCTTTCCTTATAAGACAGCCAGCTCATTGTAGGTATTATTCTAGTAAGCCTTTCCTGAACTACCACCCAACTCACTTACATCATTCCTTAACTACAATACTGTATACAGTACTTCAGACAGAATCTCACTATATAATTGAAGCATCACCTCGTTAATATTTTATTCAATTTCCCTCACAATAAATGATAGCATTCTATTAGCTTTAATAATTCCTTGCTGTAACTCCCTATTGCGTTTGATGCACCGGGACATCCAGATCTCTCAGTATCTCAGAGCTCTGAAATTTCTTTCCTTTTAGATAAGATGCTTCCTTTTTATCCCTATTTTCAAAATGGGCAATTTCACATTTTCCCACATTATACTCCATTTGCCACATCTTTGCCCGCTCACTTAACCAGTCAATATGTTTTTATTATCTCCTTGTTTGTGTCCTTTTCATAACTTGGCTTCCTACCCTCTTGTGTCATCAGTAAATTTGGTAACCATACCTTCTATCCCTTCATCTAATCATTTATATAGTTAGTAAACAGTTAAAACATGGTTTCCTAAACTTTCGTCATTCCACTTTTTTGTGCTATTAACTGGTAACTAGCAGAGCCACCCAGCCAGCCTTTCCAGTTTCCTAAAATGTCCTTTAACCTTCAATATTCAGGCCATAATCCATGTCATCCTATAGTCATGTTTTTATAATGGCTACCAGCTCATAATTATTCATTTCTACTTGCATTCTCGGTACCATTCATTTTGTCTCAAATGTAACCTGTATTCAGACACTGAGTTTTATCCCTTTTCACTCTTTATAAATTATATTCTAATCTGTTGGTTGACTCTTAAATTCATACTTTTATCACTTATGATCAGTATATCATTTCTCATACTAATACCTTTCCCCTTTCCATGACTACCCTTTGATTTGCTCTTCCCAAATTTGATCCCATTCCCCCACTGTACAGTTTTAAATCCTCTTTACTTCATTAGTCATGTAATTGGCAACACATCAGCCCAGTCATGGTGTGGGTGGACAGCACCCCATCAGTACAGATCCCACTTCCATCAGTTCTAGTCTGATAGCCCCTCTTGTCCCACTCCAATCTTTGAGCTATACATTCATCTCTCTGATCTGATTTGCCCTGATAGCCCACATACATTTGCATGTGGTTCAGGTAATAATGCAGAGATTACTAGCTTTGAGGTTCTGCTTCTCAATTTGCTGCCTAGTTCTGTCCTGCCCATGTCATTGTTACCCACATGGACCAAGATGACTGGATCCTTGCCCTTTCAATCTGATGTTCTTCTCTAGTGCTGAGTAGATATCCTGAACTCTGGCACCTGGCAGGCAACACTGCCATCTGGGCTCATGTTTGGTGCAGGGGAAAGTAACAATCCCCCTTAATATGTTGTCCCCTCTTACCACGACATTCATTCTCACTCGCCCCTCTTAGGTAATCGCTGTACCGTGGTGCCAAAGTCACTTAGCTCATCTCCCCTGCAGCCTTCACTCTCATCCAGACACACTGAAATAATTTTAAACCTGTTGGATCATTGCAAAGGCTGAGGCTCCAGAACTTTTGAATTTGAAATTTCTCATTGAATTTGCTTCCACCACCCTTTTGCATAGATCTTGCCAAATCTTAATAACCCGCTTTGTGAAAATATTTACCTCATTTCACAGTTAGTTATTTTTGTCAAATATATTCAGTCTGGTTACAAATCACCACTTACCATACTTCATAGTTTCCTTTATTTAAGATTCAGCACCCTAGTCTCCAAATCAACGACTTCATTCTCCATCTCAATAAAAATTCCATCATGTTATGGTCGCTCATCCCCAAGGGGTCTCACACAGTTAGGTTGGCAATAACTCCCTTCTTATTACACAGTGCCCAGTCTATGATAGCCTGCTCTCTAGTCCTTTTCAAATTGGCAGGCAGTAACTAGTGCGGTTCACAATATATACTAATGATTTGGATGAAGGAACAAAATGTAACATCCCCAGGTTTGCAGATGATACCAAGTTGGGTGGGGAGGGTGAACTGTGATGAGGATGCAGAGATCTTTCCGCATGATCTGGACAGGTTGGGTGATTGGGCAAATCAATGGCAGATGTGGTATAATTTAGATAAATGCGAGGTTATTCACTTTGGAAACAAAAACAAAAAAAACAGATTACTACCTGAATGGTTGTAAATTGGGAGACAGGAGTGTGCAGCAGGACCTGGGTGTCCTTGTGCACTAGTCGCTGAAGGTAAGCATGCAGGTGCAGCAGGCGGTGAAGAAGGTAAATGGTGTGTTGGCCTTCATTGTGAGAGGTTTTGAGCACAGGAGCAGGGATGTGTTGTTGCAGTTATACAGGGCCTTGGTGAGACCATACCTAGAATATTGTGTGCAGTTTTGGTCTCCTTTTCTGAGGAAGGATGCTCTTGCTCTCAAGGGAGTGCAACGAAGGTTTACCAGGCTGATTCTGGGGATGGGGGGACTGTTATATGAGGAGAGATCGACTAGATTAGGATTGTATTCGCTGGAGTTCAGGCGAATGAGGGAGAATCTCATAGAGACTTACAAAATTCTAACAGGACTAGACAGGGTAGATGCAGGGAGGGTGTTCCCGATGGTGGGTGTTTCCAGAATCAGGAGCTCACGGTACGACGATTCAGGGTAAACGATTTAGAACGGAGACGAGGAAACATTTCTTCACCCAAAGAGAGGTGAGCCTGTGGAATTCTTTACCACAGGAAGTAGTTGATGCCAAAACATTGAATGTATTCAAGAGGCAGCTAGATATAGCACTTGGGGCAAATGGGATCAAAGGTTTATGGGGAGAAAGCAGGGATTAGGCTATTGAGTCGGACAATCAGCCATGATTGTTATGAATGGCAGAACAGGCTTGAAGGGCCTCCTCCTGCTCCTATCTTCTATATTTCAATGCCATGGCTCTACGCATTTTCTAAATGAAGTTTTCTCCCTATTTTCTCTATCAAACCTCCTTTTTTTTATTCACTCATGGAACGTGGGCATCGGTGGCTGGGCCAGCATTTACTCCTATCCCTAGTTGTCCTTGACAAGGTGGCAGTGAGTTGCTTCGTAGACTGCTGCAATCCATTTGGTGTTGTACATCCACAATGCTGTTAGGAAGGGAATTCCAGGATTTCAACCCAGTGACACTGAAATTTGGCAACATATTACCAACTCAGGATGGTGAGTGGTTTAGAGGGGAACCTGCAAGTGGTGGTGCTCCCATGTATTTGCTAGACCTTGTCCTTCCAGATGGTTGTGGTTGTGGGTTTGTCTAAGGGGCCTTGGGGAACTTCTTCAGTGCATCTTGTAGATGGTACACACTACTGCTCCTGATTGTCAGTGGTGGAGGGAGTGAATATTTGTGGATGTGGTGTCAATCAAGCAGCTGTTTTATCCTAGATGGTGTCAAGCATCTTGGGTGTTTTTAGAGCTATAACTATCCAGGCAAGTGGGGAGTATTCCATCACACTCCTGACCTGTTCCTTGTAGATGGAGAACAGACTTTGGGGAGTCAGGAGGTAAGTTACTCGCTGCACGGCTCTCAGTTTTTGACCTGCTGCTGTACCCACAGTGTTCATGTGGCCAGTCCAGTTCAGTTTCTGGTCAATGTTGATAATGGGAGATTCAGTAATGGTAATGTTATTGAACGTCAAGGGTTGATGATTAAACTCTCTCATATTGAAAGTGGTTATTGTCTGGTATTTGGGTAATGCAAATTACACTTGCCACTTGTCAGTCCAAACCCGGATATTGTCCAGGTCTTGGCGTATTTTGATATGGACAGCTTCAGCATCTGAAGAGTTGCAAATGGTACTGAACAGTGTGCAATCATCACTAAACATTTCCACATTTGAAGTTCATTACCGAAACAGTTGAAGATTGTACGCCTCTGATGAACTCTTACGGCGATGTCCTAGAGCTGACTGAACTCTAACAACCATGACCATCTTCCTATGTGCCAGGTATGACTCTAACCAGCAGAGTCCCCCAGATTCCCATTGATTCCAGTTTTCCCAGGGCTCCTGGATGCCATACTCAGTCAAATGCAACCTTGATATCAAGGGCTATTACTCTCACCTCCCCTCTGGAAATCAGATCTTTCGTCCATGTTTGAACCAAGGCTGTAATGAGGTCAGGAGCTGAGTTGCCCTGGCGGAACCCAAACTGGGTGTCACTGAGCAGGTTATTGCTGAGCAAGTGCTGCTTGATAGCGCTGCTGGTGAGACCTTCCACCACTTTACTGATGATTGAGATAAGTTTGATGGTAATTGGCTGGGTTGGATTTGTCCTGAATTTTGTGTACAGGACATACCTGGACAATATTTCACATCATTGAGTAGATGTCAGTATTGTGTTGACACTGAAATACATTGCATGGGGCGGGGCAAGTTTTGGAACATAAGTCTTTAGTAATATTGCTGAAATGTTGTCAGGGGCTGTAGCCTTTGCAATATCTTGTACCTCCAAATGTTTCTTGATATCACATGCAGTGAACCAAACCAGTTAAAAACTAACACCTGTAATGCTGGGAACCACTGGAGGATGCCAAGATAGATCATCTGCTCAGCACTTCCAGCTAAAGATTGTTGCAATTGCTTCAGCCATATCATTTGCTATATGTATTAGGTCTCTCCTCAACCATCTTTGTTTTAAAGAGAATAATCCCAACTTTTCCTCCAATATCTCACATAACCTATACCTGACAACCCTGATAAACTTCCACTTCTTTTTCTGAGACCTTGAGATCCTTCCTAAAGGCTATATCTAATCATAATGAACAGGATTTCTGCTGTAGCATCAGCAAAGTTATGGTGACAGAATGGGAACAGCACCAAAGAAATTCAGGCATCTATTTAAAAAGCATGCTGATATCATTAATACATTATTGTCTTTTCAAGCTTATGAATAAATGACAATTTTAATGTTTATTGAGTGAGTCGCACTAGAGTTGTCTTGTATTATTTAATGCCATATTTTGTTCTATTGGTTCATTTTTGCACTGATAAAGGAATCTATCCAAAATATTAACAGGGCATGTGTAAGGCAATGAAGAGGAAATTCCATTGCAGTTCTCACATTTGCCCACTTGTGCTCATCGTTTTACTCCACTTCTCAGATTTCTGTGGCTGTTGTGTTAAAGTTACAATAGATGACACGAGAACCTCACGCAGATTCACCCCAACTTTTTAATCATTTCAAGTTATATTTAGGTTGGATTATTTGGTTAATTATATATGTTTCCAATTCTTGAATGTTTTATTAGATTTTTATTTTATTTGAAATTGGTGCTTTTAAAATTATTTATGATATTTCTGAAGAACTCATTTTTTTGAGACTAGACTTCAACCCTTCTTTTTATTCAACCAACACGATCTACATATTGTGGAGAGTGTGAAAATGCCAGCTACCATGGAAATTCATTGTTCTATAATTGCACAATACAGTTTTGACTTGCTATTTTGTTATGTAACATGAATATCCATATATAGTGGCTGCAGAAATAGCTTACCACAAAGGGTCTCCATGAACTTAGAAGTCAGCTTCTCTATCACACCATATGTTTCCACATAGAAGACATGGTCATCCAAAGGTTCACTGGCCATTAGTCTCAGTGACTGCATGTCAGCCCTGTCTACACCAACAGCATACATTTCAATACCAGAAGCTCGAGCACTTGCAGATATTTCTGCCACTTGGTCCTGGGGTCTCCCATCTGTTACAATGATGGCTACTTTGGAGATACCAAGTTCCTCTGGTCTTGCTCCTGAAGACTCCGTAAAAGCCTTGTTCATTGCACTCTCAATGGCCAGACCTGTCATAGTACCGGTTGAAAGAGGTTTGATTTGATAAACTGCTTGCTTCATGTCTTTCTTATTACTGTAAGTTTTGAGCATGAACTCCTCCTTCACAGTGCTTGCATAGTTGAGAATGGCTACTCGGGTCCTATCGGGCCCAACGTCCAATGTGTCAATCATATTAGCCAGAAAGACTCTCACCTTTTCAAACTCCTGCGGCCGGACACTGCGGGAGCTATCGATGATAAAAACCAAATCTTGAGGCTGAATTTTACATTGTGCTTCTGTGAAAGGAACAAATGTTTTTTTTTATTTTAAAAAAAACATACATTTGTTGAAATAAAACATTTATTTAAACCTAGTACGTTGCACGTGATGTTGTGCACATTTGGTCGATGCATTTAATTTTTGATGTATAAGGTGGTAAAAAGTTTGCAACAGACTTTAGAACCTCACTCATCAAGACCACCTCCTGGCCAGAATCTGCAACTACATTGAGATATTCGCCCAAGCAACATTGAACACAACAAAATATCTTAACACCATCTTGCAATGGTAAACACTGACAGAACAATTAACAAAAACATTAGAGACAATAACTAAGATTTATAGTGCATTCCAGAAGCAAGTTTTGAAAACAAAAGAGACATTCACTCTTATGGTCTTTTTCCTCAATACTTGTAGTGTTGGTGTCATGACTTTTTTGCACTGTCCCATATCATTCATTCATTCTTTCTTAGATACTTAAAATTGTTTTCTACTTCACCTTTTTTCAACTGTAAACATCCAAACATACTGTCACCAAATAGCTCCTTCTTCACCTACTTCATCATCTCCCAATCTTTGTAGCAATTATGTCATCAGGAACCACAGGCTTTCATTTAATAAAAGAAAATCAAATTGCAAGTTGATAAATCAATTGTGAATCTGTCATTAAAATAATATAGTTAAAGTGCCATATGCACAAAGCTCTAGTGGTCATGTAAAAAGATCACATGAAAATAAAACATTTTTACTGCTGGAATTCTCAGGACTCCTTATGGACATCATAACTGACAGGAAGTTTTATCTAGATAGTTTGCCTTCCTGTACTATGATTAGCAGTGCAACTGAGCAAAAACAAAAGTCCCATCCTGTAGTGTTGAGAATGATGTAAAATGTTGAACATCAGAAAGAGGAAATGGAGTTGACTATTCATCCCTTCAAACCATTCAACCAGATCAATATTCAATATATCTTTGATAATAAATAATAATGGATATGTAATAATTGCAGTTAGACTTCACAACACATTTATACAGGAACTTTAACATCTAAAATGTCCAAAAAAATCTTAACAGAGAAGAGATGGACACTGAAAGAGTTGTGAAAGGTTCAGAGATTTAAGGAAGGTGTTCAAGACTTTTGGGCTCAAATTGCTGTGAATTCTATCACCACTGACATAGCAAAAGGCAGTAGAATGTAATAGAGGCCAGAATCAGAAATCAAAGTGTAGCCATTTACTGATGGGTGAAGACACTCCTGGGCATGGAGTTGGGGTGGGGTTGGTGGTGAGGGTGGGGGTGTGGGAGGAGGTGGTGGGAGGGCATTGAGTGTCTATACCAAGTGGTAGACATTTTTATTTCCACCTTTGATATTCTCTGATGATCAACAATTGTTCATAACTTCCAATATTTCATCATACAATAAACTAGGAGAAATGTGAGTAGAGTTTGATATAAATAATAAAAACTGGTTATCATGTCACTCATTATGCACTTCATCGTGCTTTCACTTAGAAGACTGAAAATGCATTCTTATGCTGAGGCAAAATATAAATTGTAAGGTTGCTTTATTTTACCCAACAATGAATGAAAATACTTTATAAATTAAAATCAAAACCTCAAACCCTTCCATTTAAGGAAGGTGAAGTAGAAAACAATAACATAATATCATACAATTTATAATTAGCAGGTTAACTTCTGATTCTGATCTGGTTGGTCTATACTTAAGCTGACTCACCAAGCTGGTTTCCCTTCCCAAACCTAACTAGACTACATGCAGCTCTTTATCTTTCTCTTTCCTATAATCACCAGAAGTGGGAAAACTGTCTCTTCCCCCTTCAGTGATTCACAAGGCGATATCTAAAAGAAAAGTACATTTTCTGCAGACAACTTCCATGGCCAAGATGCCACTGTTTGATAGTGAGATAACAAACTGCTTATTGTTCCAGGTAATTGTACATAATTTGCTACTTAAACACTTTTTGCTTTTGTGAAGAATGTTTTAAGGACTGTGCTCAAACAGAACCTTTTTTCACAAATCTGTTGAGAGATTGTCAATAAAAAAAGAAATCATAGCAAGGAATGGTAATAGATTTGTAAGTACAGATGAAGTTTTTGAAATCAGAACACTTCAGTAGACAGTAGAGCTAGGGTCTTAGACAGGAATATGTTGTAGAACAGAATACAAGGTAGGGGCAGTTAGGAATTTGGCATTGAAAGTAAAAAGTAATCTATCACTTTTTCTGCCTAAGTCACTGCTTTCCCTCCCCCTCATCTGACTATATTTCCAAATATTTATTATGTTTTTACATGTTATTCCAATCTAATTTTAAGCCTGGATTTTACTGTAATAATATTGCTGAGAGTTTCATTGCTGTCTAAATCTAACAGCAAAATCTGGTGCTACATGAGTGGACATTCAAAATAAAATCTGCTTCTCCACAATCTTTATATTCTTTTCTGTGCATGATATATAATCAACTTATACTGCTTCGGGCTTGAGTTCTGCACATCTTAATGAGAATTCAACGAGGAATCTGATGAAGTCACAGAATGCCAGGACGAAGAGTGTTCACAGATGGCTGATGACAATATGGTGCTGAAACAGACGTCCCTTGTTAGGATATATTTGTGCTAAAATGTCTCAAAACTTTGGAGACAAGAATCGAAAACGCGTAAACTTGAAAATAAATAGCAGGTCTGAAATGAAGTTCCCCTTTAGCGCGTACAAAAGCAAATTGGACAGTACCAACACATTCCTATGAACAAAGAATCAAAGACAGAAATTGTTGGAGAAACTTAGCAGGTCTGGCAGCATCCGTGGAGAGAGAAACAGAGTTAATGTTTCAAGTGCAGTATGCTTGATCAGAACTGGAAATAGCTGGGAAATTGAATCAGAGATAGTAGGAACTGCAGATGCTGGAGAATCCGAGACAACAAGGTGCAGGGCTGGATGAACACAGCAGGCCAAGCAGCATCATAGGAGCAGAGAGGCTGACGTTTCGGGCCTAGACCATTCATCAGAAAAGGGGGAGGGGAAGGGGGTTCTGAAATAAATAGGGAGAGAGTGGGAGGCGGATAGAAGAGGGATAGAGGAGAGGATAGGTGGAGAGGAAACAAACAGGTCGAAGAGG